GTTTGTCACCAATCTCTGACTTGTCACCAAACCAATCTCTGATTTGTCACCAAACCAATCTGACCTGTCAAGAACTTGTTTTTATAGTTGTCCTCTGAGGATGACAATATTACAGGGCCAAAGGTCACCAGATTTCTTGCCTTAGACAAATGCTTGCCACACAGAGACTTTTTGCAGGTAAGTTACCGGTACATGTATCTCTAACATCTCTAATGTGAAGAAGAGACACAATAACTGTCTGTTGACAGCAACGCCACTGCTTCTTGAATTAGTATTAATTTGACATTGTTAATGTATTATCTGTTGTAGGTTGTAGATATTGATAATTGTGAACCATTAGAGTTGTCATATGATGCAGAATGGTTGGCTATATTGAAATCTACCAATCATTTATTGAGTACTACAGAACATGCAAGTAATATGCCATTCCCTGGATTACCAGCAAGGTGAGCAACATATTCAATCATTGATTCTCTCATGCATAACTTAACTGATTCTTGCATTCACCTTGTCTGTCTGGCCTACATATTTCATGTGCCCTCCATACCATCAGCGCATACATGTAGGAGTACTAAGCTTTTTTCAACAAAGTCGTCACAGCGGAGCTCTTCATATTGTCCGTTGTCATCAGCGTCAACTTTACAATTTCAACTTCTTCTTCAAAACCGCAAGTCAGAATGTTTTGAAGTTTGATATGCAAGCACCTTGGATGGTTCTCCCTCAGATTTGTTCATTTCATGTCAAAATCTCAAATTTTGTTTTTTGCTGAATACTTTTGTGATTTTTGGTCAAAATTGATATTTTTGACTTCTTCTTTGAAACCGTAATTCTGAATGCTTTCTAATTTGGTATGTAGACACCTTGGGTTGATCTCCCCAGATTTGTTCATTTTGTGATTATTTATTTAATTCTCTAATTTTGGTGAATATTTTTGTCATTTTTGGTAAAAAGTGTTATTTTCGACTTCTTATTAAAAACCGCAAGTCCAATTGCTTTGATATTACATATATAGGTACTACATTTGTTCTATTCACTTTTTAGAAACACTTTCATGAAAGATTTTATTCTAATTTTTTGAATATCTAGACATAATGGGTTAGAGTACACAACAAAACACAAGTATTTATTGAAACTTTTGTCTGATTGGCTATCCAACCTTACCTGGCAGACTAATCAGAAAAGCAGTATTAAACTCATCATGTATGGTTTTGAATGTCATGCATTAAATAATTGACAATTGTAATTTACAATTTGTTGTTGTTTACAGATGGGATTTTACTGTAACTGAAGAGGAACTGTCTACAGTCAGAGAATTATTTAATGAAGATCTGAAAATTCCTCTTAATTTTACAAAAACTGTACCAGTGTATGATCCAAGCTTGACCCCAAACTTTAGAAACTCAAGACAACCTCCTGCGTGTGTCAACCATCAAACAACAGAATTCTGCCAAAAGCTGGGCATCGCAGATCCAAATGCCCTGAACTGTAACCACGGTGTTGAAGATATAAAACCTCCTCCTGAAAAAACAGATAATCCAGATGAGATATCTATTGATGAGGCAGATAGCAACGGAAGTGCATCATCACCATCACCATCTTCATCATCATCATGTAGTTTAGATGAAGATATAATTTTAGCTACAGAAGTGGACACTGAAGCCAACCTATCTAGTATGTCAGAAGAGCTTTTGTCAAACACAGATGGGGACACTGAGGATAGTGATATGAAAAGAACATCTGAGGATGAACCCTGTCAGAAAGGACCAAAAAAATTTAAACGACGAAATCATAAAATCTACGAAGCCAGAGAGAAAGATGATTAGTTTTATATTTTACTGCCTTTAGGAACACTTTCTTTTTAAAATTGCTTTTAAAATTTGAATTTAAAGCTTGTGTTTTGTATCTTGTAATATTTTCATTTCAATTGAGTGAAACCAGGACTTGAGGCTAATTCTTTTGTTTTTATTAATATTCAAGATATAAATACAGTTGAGTGTTTTTTTGATGTTTGAGACATTTGCATTGCAGCATCACACTGTGATTTTAGTGTATATGTAATGTTTACAAATGCATGAAATGTTTATTTTTATTTTGTTTTAACTGGTGGGTTGAGATAAAAAAAAAAAGAAAGTCTTTGAACCAAGATCCCAGTGAAGCTTTGCCATAATGTCAATGTTCTATTTTGCTAATGCTTTGTATCAGTTTTTATTTTGGACATTCTCCCAGAAATTTACATTTCCCTGTTTTTTTTTCTTCTTTGTCGTTTATTTTAAGAGTTTAACTCCTATACAAATATAGTTTTATTTTTGTTTTAGTGGGTTTGTTTGACCCAAGGATGTACCAAGGTATATAGATTTCTCATTTATACTATGTACCCCCATAAAACTAGATTATCCCAATTAGTCCAAAATAGGATGTGCTAGGTATATTGATTTTTCATTTATATAGGGTCCTATGCAACTAGGTTATCCCACTAAGCCCACAAAAGAATACATCTAGGTATAGTATTTATCCGGGTAAGCGTCCATGCCCCGGCAAACACCAATCCCTTTTTGGGGGCAATTTTCCATGTTCAGGACCCTGGGTGCTCACCCGGATAAATATGGTATATTGATTTTTCATTTATACTCTGTCACATGCACACACGTCCAACCAGAATTTCCCACAAATAGATGCATTAGGTATAAAGGCAACACTTATTATCCATAATACTTGTGACTAACTTTCAGGAGACTGTTAACTAGGCATATTCAGTTTGAGGAAAGATTATTCTTAACACTCAACAGCTGTGGTATCTTGAAAGGGTATATTCAGATTGTCGACTACTAAGCATGCTACAATTTGTATTTCTTTCACATTATCATTCATGCGTACAAAAAGCACTTTCATTAGTATAATGGACATTTTATGTAAAACATATTTTATATTTCATGCATATTAATTTAATACCCTGAGATGTTGTTGTACTACTTATGTTCACATACACATACTTTGCTATTTGTCTACTTGCTTGTAGCAAAGTTATGTGTATGTGTTATATAAGTTATATTAAAAAAAAGCATGATCAATGACCATGTATTCATGTCAGCTACTGTGAACTACAGATGTAATGAGATGTTAATGCTATGTGTTGTCAAGAAAGTTAGTACACAACATGAATAAATTAATAGCCTATCATGATAACCTTTGAACTATGGATTATTTAAACTCATCTTTTCTGGAATGTCCTAAAAAGTTGAAAGTTGCAGGGAAAGCTGGTAAAGTTAGCTTGGATGTCATTAAATTGACAAAGTTCAAGTGGTGCTAGGAAATAGTAAAAAATGCTAAAGGGTGCCTAAAAACTCGAAAAACTTGCTTGAAAATTGTAAGTTGTCTGGAAATTCATAAAGGTTAACTCCTTGGAGGAAAAGACTTGCCAGGAAGTCTTGAAAGCCTAGAAAGTCTTAAACCATATAAAGGACATCAAAAACATTGACTGAAAGTCATCTGAACATTTCAGATGATTTACTTTCCAGAAAAATATTTTTGTCTTCAAATGCAACTTTTCAAAATTGGCAAATTGCCATTTCAGGCAATTGTCTTTTGTATGCCAACTTTGCAAACTTTGCTGATGAATTTTCTGGCAACTTGCATGCCATACAAATTTACTCTTCAAACTTTGATTACAACTTTCAGGCTACTTTCTTTTTTAAAAAGTGACTTTTCAAACTTATTAATTGAATTGCATCATTTTTAAACGACTTTTTCTGCCTTCCAGAGCTACTTTCTCTGACTTTGCAAACTGCTTTCTAACTTTCGGACAAATTGTTCCATTCAAGGTGACTATGTGTACTTTGCAAATGACTTTTGTGACCTTTAACACAACTTGTTAGCTTTACAAAATGTCTCCGAATATGGGTGACAGCTCTCATTACTCTTCAGGAAACAATCTGAATGACTTCTGTAAAAACAAACTTTGCTTATGGCTTGGTGACCTTTTAAGCATTGTTTTTGCCTTTAAAAGCAAATTTTCAAACTTTCAAGGGTTTTTTAAGGCCTTACAATAGGACTTTCACAATTTTGCAAATGCCTTCAAAAACTACTTTTCGAACTTTGCAAATGCCTTCAAAAACTACTTTTCGAACTTTGCATTTGTTGAAAACAGCTTTTTTTACTTTCATGCAACTGTCTTTCTTTTCAATGGTACTTTTCGAACTTTGCTGGCTGATTTTTGTGATGTTTTTTTGCAACTTTCCCGTCTTCTATTTTTCAAATGTGACTATTTTGAATTTTACAGCAACTTTTAAACTTTGCAGACAGCTTTCATGACTTTTCATGCATCATTCCTTTCTTCAAAAGCAACTTTTCAAATTTGCAAATGGATTTCAAGACTACATGTTTTCCTTCTTTTAAGATCTCTATGAACTTTGCACATGTTTTTTTTAATAATTCAGGCAATGTTTCTAACTTTGGTAGCGGCTCTCCAAAGTTTGCTGTGACTTATATTACTTTTCATGCTTTTCCTGCCTTTCAATGTGACTTTTTGATCTTTACAGGCTGCTTTTCACAATGACTCGCTGAGCTTTGCCGACCATTTGTAAAACTTTTCAGGTAACTTTCTCACCTTCAAAAAAAACTTTTTGAAATTTTCAAAATTGCCTCATAAAATTCCCTCTTGTAGCGATCGTATAAACTTTGCAGACAGTTTCCATACCTTTTCAAGCAACTTCTTCCCAAAGCGACTTTATCACTTTTTCAAAATGGTTTTTTTTTTGCAAATTCTTCTTTCTCTGCATTTTTGCTTCCCATAGCGATTTTTCGAACTTTACAGATGGCTTTGATCGTTATCAGGCATCATTTCCACCTTTAAATGTGACTTTTCAAATTTTACGACTTTTATGAGTTTACATGCAACTTACAGGGCTTCAAGTGTGACTTTTCCATCTTTGCTTTCTCAGATTTTCAGTTGCAATTTGTTCGCTTTCTGAATTTTGCTGGCGATAGTAGAGCCATCTTGAATACAGATCTATCTATCACTGAAATGTGGAAAAAAATCCCCAACATAGTCCAGTGTTTTTCTTTCTTAACAAAGTAATAAATTGTGTCTTGTTTCTTTAAGACATTCTCATACATTTTTATGATTTATTTAATCTATACAAATAAGTTGCAAATTCACAAAATGTTCATGCATAAGAGCATACATGGTTTATTAACTCCATGCTGTTGATTAATATTAACAGTTATATAATTAAAAAACATTATCTGAAATATATAACCTGGCAATTGCTAACGGACACACGACCAGCTCAATTCATATTTTGATGATACTGCTTCCTATGTCAGGTATGAAGGAGAGTATGACAGTATTCAGAAAAGTCAAGTAAAATAAGGTACATATTGGAAAACTTTTTTTTTTCTTAAATTAACACTTACATTTTTAGTTGATACAGAATTGAATATGCTAATTCAGTGTCGTTATAACCATGGAAGATCACACAAACATACAATAAATAAAATGGACATAAAATCACTTGCTGTGCAATGTTTTTCATATTTTCACAAACTTTTTTTAAAAACTGATCTTATTGACATAAAACGCACATTTTTGTTTTAATTGTTGCCCGTCCTTTCTCATCACCAAGTCATTGTTATAAAATTGAGTTACATATTTGATAACTGAATCTAAGTAGCTAATAGATGAGTACAATTGTTCTGTTAAATTTGTATTTCAAGTTTCAAATATGTGAGGTACCATCGCCTGAGCAATATACCTAGACTGGCAAAGTCGGGACTTCATTTTTGTTTTACAAAAAGAAATAATTAATTGTTAAGTCCTTTTAGCGTGATTGCAAAAACTAACCTGACTGCGAAAGAAATCCTTTCTTTCGCGGTTACGCTAAAAAGGCTAAATTGACATTTTTTTTTTATATTTTTTTGTGTGAAAACAAACCAGAAGTCCCAACTTTGCCAATCTACAATATACCATACAACGTTTGTTGTAGATTGCTGATAGGTAAGAAGAAACTACAGAATATATTGATTGGCCATCTAAATTAAACAAATTGTAAACAATTGACACTGAGTTAGGGGGCTTTGTTTGTCCTTAAATGTCAGTTACATTGTAGATGTATTCGGAATAGCAATACCAGTAATCTCACAATTCAATGTAGAAACATGCATGAACAGGATATCTACTGTGAATATATCATATTTTGTAGCAAACACAACATTATTTTTAAACATGTTTTTATCTTGTTCTACGGTTCATATATTTTCAGAATGGGAATTCAACTTTAGCACATTTCCAAAGAGAATACAGTATCATTTTTAATCAAATAAATACACTGAATATATGACAATTGTTTCTCGAAAATACAGTCTTGTTCAGTATACAATTGAATTCAATGGTGTCCTTTCTTTGGGATTTTGCTAGTGATATTCAGAAATCCAACTGTTCTTGGAAAATAGAAAACTTATATTATACCAAATTGTTACAAAACAAAACATCGAATATTGCACTCACAAAATTGTACTCAACATAAATGAAGTGAATAAAAAAACCTAGACTGAAACAGTATCAAAATAGTTAGGATTCCATTACCATATTTAATTTTTACCATGCATGTATTTAATTTTAATTTTCGGGGCGCTATGTCAAAACAAGCAGAAAGCAGTCACATGAGGGCGCTATTGACTTTGTCTATTATCTTTGGCTGATTTGACAGCAGAACTTGGTACATTAATTTTATGAAGTTTGGTCCAATATTTGAATATTGGTTAGTGAATAGCGCCCTCATCTGCCATGTGATCATTTCATTTTACATTGCGTGAGGGTCGTATAATCGGAAACTACTAGAGTTATACGTCATAACACGAAGGGTCTGTGGGACATACTCAATAATTAAACAACAAACATTTTTTAAGTTTTGGTCGATTTTTTTTGTTAAATTACAACTAATCTTTATTGGTTTATAGCAATTCGATTCTGAGATGAAGTCACTGCAACAAGCGCCTCTACGTAATACCCTACGCCTCTACGTAGTTCAGCTACTCAATAGCGCACAAACGGCAACCAGGATCATTTCTCTTGAAACAGCGCCATCACCCGGTAAAAGAGCGTTCTCATTTCTCAGCGCTTTGAACAGCCACCAAATCAGAATGCAGACAAGTTAAAACCAATGACGTCACGTAACTATTACCTGAAAATACAAAAGAAAAGATACCTGTTATAGAGGCATTGTGGAAAAAGTTTGAGTATTTTTTAGCACATTTCAATTATTTTTGTTTAAAAATGCATCTTTATAAAAAACATAATACAATACGATATATCTTTCCTGAATATAAAATAATATATTACATCATGCAATATCAAAAACGTATTTGCGCATCGAATTATCTGTACGTATAGAGAATTATGCAACAAAAAATACATATGGAAACACAATGAATGAATCATTCACCGTGAGTATTTAAATGCCGTCGCGTCGCGTCGCGCATGCGCAATATTTGTATTGATTAACATCGATTATCTCACAATCCAAAAGCGTTCTTCTAATGAAATCACGAGTACGAGTTTTGACCTGGGCGTGACTTGTAACTTAACGCCAGTGACTACTTCAATATCTTCCAATCATCTTCAAAGTATCTAATTAAAGCGTCTAAGATTGTACTCCTTGGTTTACTCGGCAGTCTTTGTTTATATGATATCAATATCTCGCGCATGCGTGGCGCGACGACAGCTTCCTTTTAACGATAACATAGGAAACGTCAATTTCAATTACAAAATAAAGAATGCAAAAAAGTCATATGCTAGCATTATTAGTGACAACAATGAGTAATTCATCCGTAAAACTGACACCTTTAGTCAGTTGTTATCCATCTTATGAATTTCAAAATCATTATGAACGAATTTAGCAAATTGAATAATTAATTTCTTATCAGAACCTAACACTATATAATTAAAAAGACTTATTTTCTAAATATCGCGTCTGAATGCTGGATTATTTGATTTCAAACAGAAACAAACTTCTTGTTTTTACCATATAAAAATTCCTGCATTCAAACAGCCAATGTAGTTTATTACCAACCATGTTTCTATTAGACAATGTATAACATCTCTGATCCCGTGAGATATTGGAATATCTCCCTGTCTCAATTGGTTAAAGGAATTGAATAGATCGATAATCGAAGTTTAGAACTTACAATTCCGTGTTGAGGATTTTTATTAATAACAATTAACAATTTTTAAGTTGATAATTGACCTTGATTGATGGATATCATAAATATAGTTTCTGATTTGTCTTAAAGGGCTGCAGTCGTCGTGTCGCGTCCTGTTCGATATGAGACTCATAGCGACGTATACCACGCGTGTAAAATACAATGTTTATTTACATGAAATTCAAACACGCGCTGCGCGACGACCACCGCGCTTTAATTGCAATACTTAGTATTCCAGTTTGTTTTTTAACATTTCTAATGGCGGTTTGTAATCTGTGTGAAGTAGCTACTACAATTGCGATACTTTTTTTTATGGAAATTATTGTCATTTTCATAAGCATGCCTAAGAGAAAGGCAATAGTATTGATGTTAGTTTTATAAAGCCAGTGCATCCATTTGTAATTGAGACTTATAACTGTAGATATTATGCACGTTTTTCACAATATTGCTGAATTTACATTTTTCCTTAATTTCCTTAAGTGTGAAAAATATATATAAATCTAATCCGTTCACACCGATGATTGTCAGATTAACTGGAAAATGCAAAGTTTGTTAAGCCCAACATTAACAATAATAGTAAAAAATTTGCCCAGACAATTATCTACTAAGATAGATTGTAAAAATATGACGATCAACTCTTTAGCCCATAAGATACATCAGTTTCGTAACTTTCGTTTCGTAAGGTGGTAAATAGACCATTTCCGTTCACTGTGAGAATCACGCGTTATGCGTGAAATCGAACGTAAAAACAGGACAAACAAAGGTCATAGCGTCGTAGTTTTTGCGGCAGACGTTCGACGCGCGTCTTTCATGCATCTCGCGAGATCACGCAATTGAAGCGCGTCCCAGTATTGTCAACAAACTTCCCAACAAGACAGTTAGTCGTGATTGCAGTCTGCCACAACTCGCATATACTCTGTGAACTGTGAACATCAAAACAGAGAATTCATCTATTTTCACATTTATTTCACTAATCAAGTAATGTATATTCACACGTGTTCTCCAACATCCAAGCTTTCAGAATATCTCTACATTAAGATATTTACATGTAAAGTTACTGACACTTAAAAAAATACAATTGACCTTTAAGAAAGATGATCTTGTTTGCAATATGAAACGAAATACAAAATAGCGTGAATAGTCTACGTCATTAAATGTCCCATAATGCAATCGTTTGATAGCTTCCGGTTGACATTTTTACCACGTATCCCCTAGAATGATACATTGAGTTTTGTCTTTTTTTTAAAGGCTTTAAACTAAAACACAACTGTTCAATTTAATGTACAAGTGCATGGGGCAGAATATTGGATTTGATATACAGTGTAATTAAGATAGCACAAAGATTTCGAACAAAATAAAACATTGGACATAAAAACATTGTGAGTACAAATGAACTCGAATTGATATTTCCCATTTGTACTGCAACCTCAGACTCAGTCATGGAATCTTGTGTCAAGATTTGTCACGTGATGTCAAGATCCAATGATATTGACCAGTCAATCAATTTTGGAATTCAAGACAATGACGTCAAACACCGTACACTTCTTAATGTTTTTCATGTTTGAAATCAATATACATAAAATATTTGCACATACAGTACTGTCACAGACGTGGACAGTCTGTTGTGTGCGTTGTTTGGTTCGTTATATTGCAGTGTCAATATGGATGAAGCCAGCGTGTGACGTACCTCAAAAAAATCTCCTTTCATGACAAAATATATTTTACAGTCTAGAAAGTTGAACTTGAGACTGAAAGGGGGAAATTCAATTATAGTCATAACCTCCTCTTTGATTTTTTCGAATGTTTTTCCCTGCATAGTTTAGGAGGACTGGTCCCCTTGCAGATCATTTTTGGTGAAGTTCTCCTTGTCGGAAATGCCAGAAATATGTATAGCCTTATACTAAATGCAGAAATACTCACTACCCCCAATTAATACTGACGAACTAAGCAAGTTTACGAGTCACTGGAATTATTAATTGCATATAGAATGTTACAAATGCTAGCAACTGTTTTTTTCAAATTACGCCCACAGCGTCAACCGAACGCCACGTTTCCAGGGTTGGGACATTAAAAACTCTTGAGGGGGCGATAGCAGAAAAAAACTATGTAAAATATTGTTTTACATTCACTTCGTTTTGTACTAATTCTTTTTTTTTATGATGAATTCACTGTTTATTTTTAATTTCCACTATATAGGCATGCAGGTTTTTTCTGTTATTGATACTAGCATGTTTTTTTCTGTGCATTTTTTTGGTGCTAATTCTGTCACCCTCAGAGTTTTTAATGGTCAATTTGACCCGTCTCCGTTATCGGTTACATAAAGTCTAAGATCTTCAAAATATCGGGTTGCACCGACGCATGGTAGGATAATACCATGATGTCCAACAACAAAGTGAGAATAGCTCTGAGCTTTTAGTTCAACCCACCCCATCGGAGTTTGAAAAGAATCGGTGCTGTTGTATACTAGTACTTGTACCCCCCCCCCCCCGTTCCGGTCAATAACGCGTTTCTGCACTGGCCTAAGACATATCAGTTTCAGCAGGAATGGAGTCCTTCTTCTAAAGTTATTTGAAGTATGCATTTAAAATCACGTATGATGTTGTTCATTCACACTAACTGAATAATAAATCAACTATAACACATGTCGTATTTGTAATTCAGCTTCATCTTGAACGCATTCAGTTTGTGAGTAAGTCCCATCTCAACATTGCTTCTTCCTTTGCTTATTGTTTCATTCATGCATACCGTAGTTGTGACGATTCTACAACCTTTTCACCGCCAGACTTTCTCGCTCAAATTTTTCAGCACTTTCTTTTTATAACAGACAAATTAACCCGATAAATTTAACTCAAAATGGCGCTATTTTTTTTTTAGAGATTTCGTTCTTTTTCAGAAAAAAAACAAACAAACAAACACTGCACCAAATGCAATCAATCTTTATAATATTTGGTCGTTGGACTCAGTCTTGTATAACCACACTGAGTTTGCGGTGAGTGTGTTTCTGTGCGAACGTTCAATAGTCGTTGAATAATTAGCGTAACATAATAAAAATGTTGAATGAAATGTAACATATTCTGATTACATGTTCAATTTTTTAAGCAATGTTCAGAGCCGGGTTCAAGGTTTCTTTGCCATGTTTATAACAATTTAAATAAATTTTGTCGCGATCACACTTAAAGCGCTGTGGTCGTCGCGCAGCGCGTGTTCGAATTTCATGTAAATAAACACGCGTTGTACACGTCGCTATGAGTCCCATATCGAACAGGACGCGGCGCGACGACCACTGGCCTTTAAAAGTGTATGTTCCAACTTCAGCTTTCCTTTTTATTAACATGGCTAATTTCGTATCAATCATTGGGTGCCGGTAAGAACATCAATTATTCGCTGGTTTCCGGCGAAAAACAAGTAGGATGCAGGTAACTAGTAATCGCCATATTGTTCCACAAATGCACGTGGCGTAATTTGAAAACATTCCAAGTTCCGTTCCGTGCGTAATCGTGTCCGTAATACTGCAATGACGCCACGTTCATTCATTCCGCCTGCTTATACTTCATTCTTGACGTAGTATTAGCTCCCTTTTGCATTTTTGTGCAAAGTGATAACAAAAGAAACAGTTTTATATTCGTGCAACGTTTGAGAGTAAAAGGAAAACCCTGTTCTTTGTATTGAATGTCAACGAGCGTAAGCCCCGACGTCAGGTAACCAAGGGAAATAGAACAAAGAATGAGAAAGTGATTAACCAATCAGAATGCTGGAACCGTTACTAGTTACCTGCCCCTTGTGGCCTGGTGCGCCATGTCACTTGAGGTAGGAACCAGCTTTTGTTTACTTAGGCGATGTTTTGGTTGATGTTTGTGAATGACGATTCACTGTCACAGTCTCGGCGAGAGAGAGGATGTGCAACCAGATAAAATATAATGCAAATGTATGATTAAACTTAATAAAACCATCCAAGTCACCAATTCAGACAAAGTACATGGAA